GCCTGCTGAAACAGGACAACGTAAGCCCACCATCCGCTGCCGGGTACGTTTGAGCACTTCTGATGATTGTACTTTGCAGGAGAGTCAGGCTGACTTGGAGCGCGTAGAAGCCATCCCAGAGACGGCAGATGAGGACCGATCCGGAAGGCTCAATGGCCCTCCACCGGCCACCGTGGCCAGACGCGCCAAGTCGTACAGTGACTTCTACACGGTCGTGCGCGCACACCTGAGGAAGGAAAGAGCACTGGAGAAGAAGAAGAAGTCGCGTGAGGACATCAGCACCGAGCTCGACTTTGCCGATTGGTATGGCGGCCTCAGCGACGAGCTGCTGGAAGCCAGCCACGACGAGTACACGCTCTACCAGCACCAGCTGCACATGACGCGAAACCACCTCGACACCATCACCTCTGACACTACTTCTACCCTTCATGTCCTCTCCTCCCTCTCCGAATCCTTCAAGGTTGTCGAAGCCCAGACAAACGCATTTCGCACACAATGTGAAGGCCTCATCGACGACCAGAAGCGCATTACCAAGCTCGCCGATGACATGGAACAGAACCTCCGATACTATCTGTACCTCGAACCTACTACCAAACGGCTCAATGCTCCAGGCGCGGGCAAGATAGTGCGGGGCAGCGAATTCGTCGACATGCTGGCGAATTTGGACAGCTGTCTAGAATACATGCAGGCGCATTCCAAACATCGAGAGGCCGAAACGTACCGATCCAGATACCGATTACTCCTCACTCGCGCACTCACGCTCATCCGTGTTCATTTCACCGAAGCACTTCGAGAGATTGCAGCCGATGTATCTAAGCGGATAGCGGATAGACAACTGAACGACACGACCATGTCTGCACTGCTCTACGCCAAGTTCCGCGTCGGAGCCCCAGAGTTGAAGAGTATAGGCATCGAGATACAGAAGCGCGCAGTGCTGCCAGCTGGAGCAGCGCCAGGCGGCGAAGCAGAGTACCAAAGTCTGATGAATGAGCTGTATCAGAGCTACTCGGCCACTCGTGGCCGCCTCATCCTTCCTATCGTTACAAAGAAAATTGGAGACATTGCACAAGCTCCAAGCACATCGACAGACCTTGTAGCTTTTGCGCGGAGTAGCATAAGCTACATACGAGGCATATGTTTCGACGAGTGCGACTTATGGCGGGAATGGTTCGACGGCGACGGCGGATTGTACGACTTCTTGGAAGCCGTGTGTGAACCTCTCTACGACTACCTCCGACCACGCACTATCCATGAGACGCAAATACTTAAGCTGTGCGAGTTATGTACCCTGATACAAACACGATACATGGAGGAGGAAGAGGAAGAATCGCCCGTCGACGCAAACAAGCTGGACTTCTCTGTCATTGTACATCCCGCACTGCAAGATGCACAAAACAGACTGGTCTTCCTATCGCTTGCAATTCTGCGGGATGATATTGAGAGATACAAGCCCAAACCAGAAGATCTCGACTACCCAGCAAAGAACAAGAAGTACGCCACCTCCGGAACAAAGTCGCATCAACCCGTCTTGTCTGGCAAGAAGCAACCCAAGTCCGAAGTGCCGCCCACCCCATTGATGCCAAAGACGCCTACAATAGTCGAGGACGACGATCCAGATGCGCGGTGGAACTTCAACACTGAAGCGGCCTTCAAAGACTGGTACCCTACATTGCGTAAAGCGATCTGGTTGCTCAGCAAAATCTACAGGCTTGTCCATGTAGGTTCTTGAACAGCCGCATAACCTATCCATACTAATATGCTCCCAGTCCTCTGTGTTCGACGACTTGGCCCATCACATTGTTCACAGCACCACGCTTTCGCTTGCTCAAGCCAGCACATTGCTAGCCAAATCCGTCTCGCCGACCGACGCTGCTCTCTTCCTAGTATCGCACCTCCTACTCCTGAAGCAGCAGATTGTGGCTTTCGACATAGAGTTCGTTACACCAGAAACTGAAGTCCAATACAACTTCTCCAGTGTCACAAACACGTTCTGGGAGCTGCGTGCTCGTGGCGGTCTCTTCAACCCGCGCAACCTGGTCGGTCTGCTCATCCCCAAAGTTGTAGAGAACATGTTGGATGCCAAAGCTGAAGTAGACGCGCGCCTACGTCAAGCGATTAACGACTTCACTGGACAGTTTGTCACTCGCATGACAGCTCCGATCGATACCAAGAACAACAAGAAGGTACCACCGAGAGAGGCCCCTGCGCGCACGAGCAAGATCCGACAGAACATCGAGCAAGAGACACCGTTCTTACGATCGAAACTGGAAGAATACATTACTGACGCACGTACACGTGAGATGCTCGTGGCAGCTGTAATGGAATCTGTCACGCAGACGTATGAAGATTGGTACGACACGTCATACTCTCCATCCCTTGCCAACCAAAACGGCATCAGCAGAAGCACCAAGGGCAAAGGTAGGGAGGATGGCGTGTGGGATCCGGATGTATTCAGCGAGTGGTGCGGCAATACATTCAAAGTCGGCACGCTAGGCTTGGGCATCATGGACGATGGACAAGAAGATTATCAAGATCGAGATGATAGCGACGCGGATAGTATGGGTGCTGCCAGTGGGCGGTCAGGCACAGAACGGACAGGGAACACCGGCCTGAGGATCAAGATGTGAGACTCGTCGGTGAATCAAGCATAGTACGATAAACGACTGTATATACTCGTATACAGGCCTACGGGAATGTGTTCAAGATGCCATCACCATGCTACAGGGAGAAATTCTACCATTACTTTCTTGCCACATTCTTGGCTCGCCAACATAGGTGTTCTCTTTTCTGACTCCTTTCGCCCTGCGACATCCACTTCTGTATGCGCTTCACTCTCCGAGTCACGTTCTTCTCTTTTTCGTACATTTCGCCTTTGCTGCCTCGCTTTCCTTCGTCGCAGTGCATTCTTCTCGCGACGCTCCATTATATCGCTTTCTTCGCCTTCCTACTGTATCTGATTAGCGTCATTGCCATTGTCATCCTCGCCTCAAAAAAAAAAGCGGAAAACAGAAACTTACCGAACTGGTCTCGGCTGAATCTGTTGATCTGTGAAGGGATTGGTAAGATGATGTTGTGGAGAGTACAGAGAAAGACTTGGTCGGTGGATACTTGGCTTCATCTTCTGTGTCGCTTGCTACTTCTGTTGCTGCATCGAAGGAGGCTGAAGAGCTGGAAGAGGGACGTATGATCTAACAATTTTAGCATATAATGGGAAAGGTGGAGAAGGTATATGTCATGAGGAACTTACTGCGTGTCTATTATCCTTACCCCGTTTTTCCTTTCTCCTCTTGTTCTGCTCAAGTCTCTTCCACGTTTGTTCATTCAAATCTCGTTGTTTTCTCAGCAACACATCTTCCTCCTCTTCCCCACCTGCTCTGTTCTCTCGATCTGTACAAACCTCACCATCCTCAGCACTGCTCCTTAGGCTATTGCGCTTTTTCATTGGAGCTATGCTTCCCTGTTTCTCTAAGCTCTCTACCACATCAAGCACTGATGCCATAGATACTTGGGCAGCCTCGTATGCTTTACCTGAGAGTCCAGAAACTGAAAGCTGAAAGGCCATGTATGGGCGTAGGAGATCAAGAGATGAGTTGATGTGAGAAATCTCCGCATTCTTCCGAAAGCTACCAGTGTTCATGATCGTGCTGTCACATGCCTTGAAATCATGTTCTGACTCGCTATAAGTATCGGTTTCGGTGTCAGAATGAATGCTGTCCGATTTGATTCTGGAAGTCAGAGTCTTCGAACGTGTAGTACGAGCAGTATAAATAGCTGGAAATGGCTTATGTTTCTTCGTCGCTGAAGCTTTTGGCGCTGGACCTTGAATGCGCCTTTTTGCGCATGCTGCGACCTTCATTACATCTACCATATCATCTTCTTCATCCATATCTCGCACAAAATCTGCAGTACCGCGCTCTCGTCCTTTGTCGAGAACAAGAGGTGTCTTGTCTACCTTGTTGTTGTCTAGTTCTATGGATGTTATTAATGCACGGAGTGCTTCGACTGTAGATTCGAGTCTTGGTACGATCTTAGCAATGGTGTTGCGTGATGGTGGTCGAGGCCGCCCTTTGGTAGCCCGTGTACGAGCCATGGTGACCGTTCAGCTGAATCAGTCAGGAGCAGACGTTCATATTAAGGTCAGGATGGTTTAAGGTAGTCAAGGATATAATTGATGCTCGATCTTGCAACTAGAAAACAAACATTAGATACATGGGACATACAAAGAACTGCCCACAAGACAGCACCTGTGGAGGGAGAAATCCAAGAGCAAACTTCAGCGTGACTGGCAAACCAAGACAAGTTGTGATTGGCATGTTGTCTCCAAAGGCTATATCAAAGAATCTTTTGTCACGAGATTGCAAAAAGCTTTCGCATTGTCCATGAGTAGCAAACTTACTTTTCCAGAATCTATTGGTATCGTATTTGATTAAAAGATCGTGTAAGCTTGTCAACAATTCGCTCTAACCGTAAGAAAGAGCTAGTCTTCATGTATCAGCCTCGGAGTAAGCTTTAGGCATCACTTGTGACGCAATAAGAACAAGCTCCCTTGTGCAGATTCTCGCCGTTGATTTCACTGAAAAGTAGCTTGTCGTCCGATCTCTTATTCCCTTTTGCTACACCGGGCAGATTATCTCTGTTTTTGAGTCCGTATGAGGTTTTCCTATTTATGTCGGGAGATTGCTTGTTCATGGTGTCGATACGAGTGCTAGGTTCAGCTGCCCTTGATCATAACTTTGAGTAGTGGTATGAGCTGGACAAGCCAAATAGAGCGATATAGATTAAGCTATGGTGATAATAATGGTTCCAACATTTGGTATAACATAAATAGACCAAGCTTCTTAGCAACAGTAGGTGTAAGAAGTACAAGACATCAGAAGCCAATTCAAATGCGATACAGGTTGTGGTAACAATAAATCAACGCCAAATACTATGCTAAGAGAAAAATCTGAAAGAAAAACTTTGCAGCCGTTACAGCACGCACGACCACTACACCCAAGTGCTCATAAAGGCATGTTTGGCAGAATCATCCCAGCTTGAGAAGCAAGCGGATCGGTAAAAGGCTGCTTAGTGATGGTGTTGACGGCATTGTCCTTGTACTTTACCAGTGTCTTGTTTGAGTTGAAATTCTGGTTGATCATACCGCTCATACCTTTTGGCAGTGGTTACCATTGGACTGAGAGCAGTAATACCAAATCGGGTTCTTGTCTGGCACGATGAAGGTGAAGACGTTTGGCGCCTCTCCTGCAGTAGTGTTGAAGTTGAAGCCGGAGAAAATGGCGTTGTCACCGCCGAGAGGCTGGCATGGTTTGTCGAACGAGGATTTCACAAACGTGTGCGCTTTAGTAAGAAAGTGAAATTCCATCAGATCGCCAGGTTCAGCCATGACATTTTCAGGCTCGAACGAAGGCCATTGTTGGCGGCTGTAGAGCCAGCAAAGACGCGGTATATTACACCAGTAGACCGAACTGACTGCGCTGGGATAGCAGTGGTGAGACTGATTAGCGTTGCGGCTGACAGAGTAATCGATGTGATGACGACCATATTGAATTATGGATTGATATGTTGCGAATTTGTAGGATTGGTAGTATGCGATGAAAATATTCTCAAGAAGGTACTGTGGTCATGAAGTTGACCAAGAAGAATGTCTACCGATATATAATCATGTAGCAATTCCACCAACAACATACTATTCCACATGTTCTACACATAGCCTCAGGGTGATGATGCTAATATTTGGCAGTAAGCTGTGTCATTCTTGCCGCGCTGAGTCGCTAATTTGGTCAGCTCCACAGCCCCAGGCTTGCTGCGTGACAAGAACGCAGAGAATAGCACAATAGCATGCCGGGGATGAACAAGCCTCGTCTCACACAGTCATTTCGGATGTGAATTGTTCGAATATCTGCTTGAAAGACACCCAGTGAGCGTTTAGCAATCCTGCTAGGGCCGTCGAAATGGCTGACTTGGGGTTTTGACATTGTAGTGGCTGAGCTATACTGCGAGAGAAGTCCATCCAGCGCGATTGTCATACATCTGCCTCTAGGTCTCGAACGAATCTTGTGTCATAGAAAGACTGGGCTCGATTAGAAAGTTGACTGCGTCTTGTGGTATCAATCGTTGCTTATAGAACATGTTCCAGATCCGCGTGTTCGATCGTAACCTTTGTCTCGACGTGTCATAGTGGGGAATACGCGGACAAGGAACGGCTGAAGCCTAAGAACTGACGACTGCGCCACGCTATGATAGTTCTTTCTATATCTATGTGGCTCTTGGTATTCTTTGTAATGTTGGCTATTCTTGGATTCCATGGAGCGCTTATAGACATCTGAAGGATTACCCTCTCGCTACACGCTGACGAGTCGTATCGCTGCTCAAATTCTCACTTTGCTGTTCAAGAAGACATCGCTTGTGATCCGAAATAGCTGGCGCATATACGCGAAGTACAGAATCACGGTTGTTGATGGAGCGGTAAATCCAGCGCGTAGTAATGCGAGTGGTAGATCTCGCGACCCTCGACGTCCGTGCGCCACGCTCGAACCGAGAACGGCTAGATACCTAGGTACTGCTGCCGTCGCAGACGCATCTGCATTCCTTCGGTTTTTCCTTACTTAGTCATAAAACTTACTTCACGATTGAACGGTGTACTCTCAAGGCTCGGGACAGTTGTCTAGCATATGTGCTAAACGTGCATCAATTGTGGAGGCTGGGTGCCGCGGGCCGCTAGCAAGGTAAGACGAAGATACACAGTGAGGTTTTAGTCGAACGTAGGAAGGCGGGGCTGCTATCCTTACGATGGTCGTGAATGGTAGCAATTTCTCCACAGGCGCAAAAAAAGGACATGAAGGCGGCGGTGAAGATGAAAGTATGTGTGAGTTGGTGAGGCGGTCAAGACATGTTAATACATCTTGAAGATAGCTAGGTAGCCTGGATCGAAAAAGAAAAGAAGACGTGCTCGTAGTTCCCACACCACCACCACAATGCAGTGGTGCGTGAATGATGATTGCTTTGCCAGGTACCGGTGAGTATGGGTCACAGTGAGAGTGGGTGGGCAATGCTAGTTGAAGTGTGCTTAAACGTTTCATTATCTTCTTCGCTTGAGAAGAACGCCAATACATGCTAGCTCATGACTGCGCAAAACATCCAAAGAAAACATGCTTTATCAAAGAAGGCCCGCTTACATGCAAGCAGCGCCATCAATGCCAATGACCTTTCCGTTGACCCAGTCACCGTCTTGAGAAGCAAGGAAGCAGACGACACGGGCAATGTCTACTGGCTGGCCGACACGGTTGTGAGGGGACCATGTGCAGGCGTACTCGTCGACCTGGTCATCGGAGAGCTTCTCACCACCGGGAATGTACTCGCGGCACACTGCGTGGTACATGTCGGTCTTGATGCCACCGGGTGCAACGCAGTTGACGGTGATCTTCTTCTCGCCAGCATCTGAAGCTTCGTCAGTAAATAAAGTGGGTGTGAAAATGATCCGACTTACCGATAGCCATGCACCTGGTGAAGGTCTCAATGGCACCCTTTGAGCCGGAGTAGACAGCGTGCTTGGGTACACCCTTGGCCTGACCAGTGATGGATCCCATAAGGATGATGCGACCACCCATCTCCATCCTCTTGTATGCCGCCTTGGCGACGAAGAACTGACCACGGGTGTTAATGGTGAAGACACGGTCGAACTCCTCGGGTGTGACGTCCTTGAAGTGACCGAAGGAGACGACACCAGAGTTTGAGCAGCAGATGTCGAGCTTGCCGAAGTGGGCAACAACGTCATCCATCAGCTTCTCAGACTCCTCGACGTTGCCAACGTTAGCCTTGAAGGCAGCGGCATCTGAGCCATTACCAAGGGCCTTGATCTCCTTGACAACCTGCTCAGCTCCCTCGACGGCGTTGGCGTAGTTGACGGCGACCTTTGCGCCACGCTTGGCCAGCTCAATGGCCATCGCCTTTCCGATACCACGGCCTGAGTCATAGTTAGTATTGTAGATGTGATCTTGGATATGCTTGAGCTTACCTGAGCCGGTAACAACGGCGACCTTGCCGGCAAGGCTCCATGTCTGCTCGATTGATGCCATTGTGAATGTGTTGAGGTGGTTTTTTTGGCGTTGGGTGGAGGATCGAAGTGTAGAGGTGGTTGTAGTAGTGATGAGAGTGGTTGTGATGATGATTCTCTTCCACGGTCAAGACGAAGACATATATACCCTTTCGCTATTCGGAACTCCAGCGGAGACCGCGTTCAATGAGTAGCTCTTTTGCATCTAACCCACCACCGGTATCCCAACATCCATACGACTCCCCCAACTCAATGCCTCCGGTTCGGCACATAGCATCGCCCCCAAGAGTCGTGAGTCCTAGGGCTGAAACAGTGTGTACCTGCGCCGCATCTGTCCCGTAGTGTAGTCCCCGTCCCCGTAGGAGAGCCTGAGCCTCAGGGACAGACTTCGGACAGAGGGGCCGAAGGGCTCAGGGGCTCTCATCATTGGTCGACTCGCGAGATGCTAACGCCAGCCGAGCAACAACAAACTTCTAGGGTCTGTTTGTGACGCGCCTGTCCGTTTCATGAGATCAGAATATCTTTTTTTGTCGACTGCGAGTAATTTTGGCACTCCATTGAGTTTTGCTGGTGAAGCACCAGGTATGACAAGGTGAGAAGCCCGCGTTTGGCGCTGGAGACGACTCCCAGGGCTGGTGCGACGCCGATGGCATTGCAACGTCTATTTTCGCATCCTCGGATGTCCGCAGTCGACAGAGAGCATCTGCTGCGAGTTCCTGCACCGTGCTGTGAAGCGAGCAGAATAGAACTTCGCTGTCGATGACTCCGTCTATCGTAAGCCCTAAGGCCATAGACGTTCCTGACGATCCGACATGGTCATGTGACTTTTGAAAGTGAATCCCTGGAAGGTTTAGCCTGCAAACTCTCTCAGGGTTCGGCAGGACCTCGATGTTTCTCAACACCACAGTGCACAGTGCTGGAACCTCAATGGCTCCCCATGCACCAACGGTCATCATGAATATCTTGGCATCGTGAACTCCGGACGCAATCCGGTAAATGGGAGTGTCCTAGAAATCGGCACGATTCCGTAGCTAGGTGTCGCAATCAACGACGGGCGCGGCCGGCTTCCACAGCGGGGATCCGCCGACGTCTTCATTGTCCGTGCGTATTTTTCCTCACTTCATCTTCAAAGTGTCGTACTGATGAATGTAGAAACTCAGGCAGTGAATAGCAGGCTGGCTGCATCCTCATTTCGAGTTTACGGATCGTTCGAAGATAAGAATCCTGTGCGCGAATTAAACCGAGTCTAGAAACGAGCCACCAGATCCCAGCATGTACGACAGCGGAGCATCTCAGTCTTTATCCAAATTACATACCTCGATTAACAGCATAATGTAGCTACGCGTCTACGTCGGATACTTGAGCGCTTACAGGCCTCATCTTGTAAGCAGAAAATGAGTTCGCCGGCCATGGTGTCTTATCAACTACGCCCGCCGATCCAAAGATCCAAACCATGCGCATATCCACCCCGTTTTATTGGCTTTTTCATGCCGGAAATGGCTCGCCGTTGTGCGATGAACTGTCAGTGCAGTGCCGATATATCCAGCACTTGCTAGAGTTTCGGATCTTTTTGTGTGGCGCTTCGGCTCGTGCATATACCCTTTCGTACCAGCAGAAGAATAGCAACGACGCGAGAGAGCCGCTTGAGGTTGGCCATTGCGCACCCAAATACTACCCAAGAATAAAAGTGCTCGGGCGATACTTCTTGTTAAAGGGTGCTACGCGTGAAGAAGCCTACTGTCGGTACTTTCGCATGATGCCAGCAACACAGCAGAACATGGCGGATGATACTTCGTCATCACGGCATCATTCATCGAGAGCCATGCAACCTGGAAGACTATGTGCCCACTAATCAGTAGTTTTGCTGTCTGATTGCTCAAACCTTTTGAGATGGAGTATCACCGTACGAATCACCGGCGAACAAGTGCTTCCCGGCCTGAAAAAGGGGTAGCGTAGTCATCTTGAAGAGCTCTTTTGTGGATTAGTTGGAGCTATGCCTGAATCGCTTCGTTTTCCCCTCAATCCGTTTCCCGTCAAGCACATGGCGGTGAAAGAAGCTGTCACTGGGCCCTCCACGGGACCGTCTGCCAGATCGCCCTGGACTAATGCGTCTATCCCCGGGACGATCTTGGTATTCATTATCGAACCCTCGCATTTGTGTTCATGACAGTTTGGTGATGAGCTCCGTGTCTCCAATGCCGGTACAAACATGTTGTGGGTGACTGAGAATCTGAAGTGATACTAGATCTCAACAGAGATCTGTGGAATGCTACATAGGGCATCAGTAACGCAGAAAAGTTTCACTGGCCAAAAACCGTTCGGATACTACCCGGTAAGTCCCCGATGCTTGAACTCAAGCTCGGCTGGCATACGGAAGTGCATTGATCGACACTAGGCATGTCTTTGAGTAGGATAGCGTAACCATATCACTACATCCACCACAATCTTTTGATAGGATGTAAGCCACGAACGGCGACGAAAACCTCCGATTCACCGACCGTTAGATGGAACTCACGAGGGGTCACTCGCGTGTTCACCACGCTGTGACGAGTGACATACATCAAATCTCGATGGCACGGTCCACATTTTCTAGCAGCTACGGCTATCGTGCGGGCATCCGTAGGCTTGGCATGATGCTCGTATGAGACATGCAGATTGGAATAGAAACCATTGATCTGGGTATATAGATTCTGTAAATGGTCCATCATATCGTAGGTTATTGGGATGTGTAACAAGGTCCACTTGCGGCCGAAGTACTCTAACGGTTCTTGTGCATTCCAACAGCCAGGCATCTCAAACAGGGCTGCATATGTTGCCTCTGAACGCCAGTAATCACGCTGAACGCGTAAGCTTGTCAGGCAATGAGCCCGCAGGTAGACGTCTTGGTACCGGCTTTCTGTCATTGTGATACCGAAGCATGCTGCATGCATCCACCCCTCAACTAAACGGGCAGAAGTAATCTGTGTAGTAGCTGCATCGGGAAAAGACATTCATTCTCCGAACACCCTCAGGGCTTACGAAGTATGTGAAGCCGCGATTGTAGGGAGGCGTTACCAGTTGTTCGGATGTGATGACGGGCTTGGAGACATCAGCACGGTTACCGGAGGGTTCATCGAGACATAGTACGATCTGGGTAGAGCGACGCCTCCATAGTGTGACGAAGTACTTGCATAGCGTCCGGGGAAAGAGGAGAGGCGAAGTGACTACATCGAGGAGGTTGAGGTACGTGCCTCAACACAGCTTGCATTCCCTACAGCGTTAAAATAACCCGTAGAAACATATCGCAGGCACGGTGCTACGCAGATCTAGTTAAGGAGCCCAAACACGACACACTAGCTCTTTCGACTTCCTTTATCACTTCTTGCTCTCTTAACTCAGAGCTTCCGCTGCTCTCGCATCCTCGCATATGATGGATATGCGTTCTCTCCTGGCTCGTCTGCCACATACGGCACATGATTTGAACACCCCGCCGCCGTAGTGCCGCCCTTACACACACACACCACTCGCTCTCTTAGCCGACCCCGCCATCAAGCCTTCAAACGCGAAAGACACCAATTACCTACGCAACACCACCCATGCCCTGCTTACACTTGAAACACACACGCGGGTTAAGGGAAAAACGAAGCAATGAAAACACCGGCAGACGGCGATGACGGAGGGGCTTGGCGGGGTGAAAGGTTATATGCGTTGCACTTCAGCCACTACGCATATGTTCATCATATCCTCGCTCGTCATGCTAATGAGAAGCAAGCCCCGCATCCACCAGCGCGGCATGAAAAGGGCCCTCCTTCTTCGGTTCAGGACTACCTACGAGTAGACGTGGTCAGCGAGCTGGCATCGATATCTCTACACGGGAACCACCTACCCTCATTCACATCAAGCCCTTCGAGAGATTATGGGAAGCACGTGACATCCTTCATCGACACCAGTCATTTGTGATACACAGGTTTGTCGTTCCCACAACCGGTAGGTGCCATTTGACCATCATGTCTATGTACTATACATTAATGGACTACGCTGCAGTCAATTCAGATGACCGCATTCCAGGCACGACGCGAATCAGCGATCGAGACGAACATCACTCGACGCCGAAGCCATGTGTATGCCTTTGAACGCCACCCAACGCTTGGAACCTGACGTATATCCCTCCCAAGCATCCTGGATCGCCGATGCTGATGAAACACTGCCGAAAAGAGATGGAAAGAGGCAGATAACGATAAGTCAAGAACGCCGATACGCCCGCTAATACATCATGAGCTTGTGTTGGCGCGACAAGAAAGAGAAAGAAGAGATGGAAGAAGTATGATGTTAACCGCGCGCAAGTTTCTCGAGTTTACTACGAATGCCATCGGAAAACCTGGTGGCGACACCCTCGTCAAGGACATCGATACAATGCGACAGGACGGCAAAGCCGTTATCCAATGGAACGGGGCTACCATCGCGCTTAGTCAAGGTGGGAATACCCTCCCTCCGTGACATGTACCTCAGTATGGTTGGGTGGTCAGCAGAGAGGCGATCCACAGAGAAAGCAGTATTAGATGGCTGATATGTCCCTTGATGGTTGGGACTCAAGGACTCGTTGTGAGCGAGCGAGTCAGCCCAGAAGACCAACCCTGCCCGATAGACAGCACCAGCCCACCACGGCGGGCGAATGCCTCGTGGCATCTCACGAATGAGGCGAAGAACTTGGCCAGCGTGAGTGATGGCCTCCTGCACATCCGACAAGCACTTCTTGTGCATCCACAGCATCTGTTGATACGAGCCGTCCACGCCCTCCCGTCGGGCGAGGCGCTCAATCTCTGGGAAATTTGACACAGCATTCATGCTGATAAGATGGAACATGACGAGATTTGCTTGCATCATCGGACATACTGGGTTCGCCTTCATGTACCGTTGCGCCAAGTCGAACCACCGCCCCAATAACGCCTGCACCTCTTCTAGGCGTACGCGAGTCGAAGCAGCTGTCAATGCCCGATTCCGCGATCGAGAGGCTACACTGTCGGAAAAGCAACTGAGGAGTTG